CCCACGGTGTTCGGCACGCAAAATAAAAAAAGACGAAAATGCCCTCGAAAAATCAAAAAATTCCAAAAGTTGGAAAATGATAAAATTTGGAAACATCACATAGAACCTTGGATTATGTAATTTGATCCTTTATGATGTATGTTGGTTAAATTTTTCTTTGTTGCCAAATGTATGATCTATTTGGAGTTGGTTTTGCATGTCACAAGTGTTCAATTAGGTGCATGAGGAGAAAATCAGTAAAAAGGAACCCAAACAGCCCCTCCAGGGCTTGGCCAAGAGCCCGCAGTCCGAGGGTCAAGCGCTTAGAGTTCACTTGGACCATCACTGAGCACTCGCAACCATCCGAACGCCATTTTCCAGTAGGCAAAAGTTAATACCGAGTACTTGCAGGTTGGTCCGAGCGCGCAAGGGCTCCCTTCATGCTCGTGCATAGTGTGCAAGGCACTGTGCGAGCGCTCGTGTGGTGTCATGCGAGCGCTCGTAGGGCCTCTGAGGGGTGCACCTTAGCCCCTTCTCGAGCTTGGTCCGCCGCTTCGTTTCCACTTGACTAGTGGGACTTATATTTAAGAAATGGACTTGTGATGGATTTGTAGACCAATGCTATGGCTTAGAATGATTATCTTACCCTTTTGACCTCAGGGTCTTCATTTTTAATCGGAAGTGTTGCATCATGTTTTAATTAACCAAATGTCATTATAATTGACCAGTATGACACTAGTGCGACTCCTAATGCATTGAATAACGTGAAATGACGACTTTACCCTTTTTTGACCTCGAGTTCGGGTAAGGACTCGGGTGTAACGACACTAAACTGAAAACCAATTATAAAAAAAAAATTGGCATGACCTCTGCTAAAAAGGGGCCTTTTAAGACTTATTCAACCTGTCCCAACACACAATACAAAAAAATAAAATAAAATACATTTCCCAAAATAATAACATCAACAACCTCCTCAAGTTGGCCCATCATCGTCATCCCATTCAACATAAAATGTTTACATAGTCTCGTTTCCCTTCAAAATACCAACAAGAGTTATAGTTTACAATACATGACCATGGCTTGCAAAATGTGTACACTTCACTATGGTTTTGAGACTTTACAAAAGTGTAGCAAAATACAAAAGATAGCAAAAAAAAATATTCTTAGTCCTCCTTAAGTTTGTGATGGTTCAGTGTTCACAGCTGTGATGTTTTCAATTTTCAGCATTTTTCATTTTTCTGAATTTTCGTCGAAATGAGGGCAATTCCGTCTTTTCACGTTTTGCTTACGGGATTTTAGTTAGGTTCATTTGCATTTCACACATTTTATTTTTATGTGAATTAAGTGGCATTTACTTTTTTTTTTTTTTTTACAAGGCAAGAAGGGTTAGAAGTAAACTTCAAGCATTTACTTGGTGGTGCATGTATTTAAGTGTGTGGTGTAATTTTGAGACAAAAAGAAAAAGGGAAAAGAAAAAAAAATTGGTGGGACCCACCACTAACCACATAAGTGGTCTAGAGACCACCTTGCTTCCCCACTTTCTCTCCCCCGTAACTTCTTCCTCTCTCTCAAATTCTCTTCATTTTTTTTTTCTTTTGAGAAGTAAACTTCAAGCATTGATTCCATTTTCAATACTTGGAATTTTTGAATGCCATTTGAGGCAAAACGGAGAGCATGATGGGCTTTACGCGTGAGTACCAACAATTTCAGCTTTGAGTCTCCTTAGGGATTTCGAAATTGGAGACCCATTTTGAGGGTTTTCGCATTCTAAGAGGTAGGGGCCCTTAATTCATGAGATCTTGTACTTTAGTGATTTAATCATCTTTAATTGTTTTTTAACATGATTAGATTATGTAGACTATAGCAAATTGTTGGTATTTATGTTTATATGTTAATTGTGATCTTGTGTATTAAATGACCTATGTGAAGAACATGCTTAATTATTGAGTTTTAAATGTTTATCGTGCTAGATCTTTGTTGTATAAAAGCATGTTATGACCTTTTTGATGATCCTTGCGAATTATGCCTTGTTAAAATTTGTACTAGTTGTGGGAAGATAATTAAATGCATGGCATTGATGCATCTATGCATTGGCATTGGGCAAGAAATGGGAAGAATTGCTTTAAAATAAAAATGGAGAATTTTGGGAAAGTGTTTTGAGGAATTGGTTTTATGAAAACCTGGTCGCCGCGGGGGTACCAAAAGGCCGGAGGGTTAATATAGTCTAGAGGGAACTAGAGAGATTGCTCTAGCGTGGTTGAGCTAGCTGGGCCCAAAATGACGCCGCGGGGGTGCCAAGGGTCAGGGACACTAGCCAATCTTTCTCTCGTGTCGTTGCGAGGTCACCAAAGGGCGGGTTATATTAACCGTTTGAAAATGATAGTTTTGAATGTTGAAATTGGGGAGTGATATCGGCATGCATTGCATTCCATTGCATTCCATTGTTTATACTTGAGATTGATTATTATGTTGTATTATCCCGACATGGTATGATCCGTATCCCCATTGCTCTATTCTTTGTATGGATTTACGGGGATACAAGAAGCATGTCTTAAGTGTCACCTGCTGAGCTTTTGCTCACCCCATTATACTTATCATTTTTTTTTAGGTCATGGTAAAGAAACTATGGACGAAAATCCACCACTGAATTGAAGGAATTTGAAGGGCACTTTGGAAGTATTTTTTTTTTGTAGAAGTTTGAACCTATTTTGTAAAATACATGAGAATAAATGTATTAGGTTCATTTTGTATGTAAATGGGAATGTAACTGAAAGTTTGAACTCATTTTGATGTAAATTATCTATGATGTAAAGTCTATGTTTTAAACTTATGTAATTGATTCTAAATGATGTTTAATGTGATTCGCGGGTTGGTGCTTTCATTTTTTATCGTAGCGTAACTCTTGATTGATGATTTAACTCGAGTTCAAACCATTGCAAAGTCTCCATTCTAGTTCCTCTTTCATTTCTTTAAGGCAGCAGGTCAGTTTCAGCTTCTGGGCTTGAGGAAGCCATTTCGGTCGACCGAAATGGTGCATCGGTCGACCGAACCAAGTAGGTGCTCTCAGGATCTCCTGTTTCGATCGACCGAAATAGGGTTCGGTCGACCGAACCATCCTCTTGTTCTCAGTATCTCACCTTCGGTCGACCGAAGAAGAGTATCGGTTGACCGGTTCTTGAAGGTTTGCTTCGACCGACCGAAGCTCCACTTCGGTCGACCGAAGTGCACCTGTTTGGTACTTTCTGCTCCTCTTTTCATGTTAATCTACTCTTGACTCTTGGAATTCGTTTGGAGACTTTGTGAGAGCTTTGTGTTGATCCTCAGGACCATGTTTTGATGCTTGAAATGATAAGTTTGATGTAGATGACCTCGGGTTCGAGTAAGGACCCGCCTAACTGTACGGACCTCCGGGTTCGGGTCGTCACAACAGTTTCTTTCCCAAGTCCTGAAAAAATGTTAAATGTAATGGGGTGAGCAAATTGCTCAGTAGGTGGTGCCTAAGACACATCTCTTGTGGCCTTGTGAATCCAAATAATGAATAGGAATAGAGGATAGGGGTCATGCTATGCCGGGAAAGAATACAAGATAAATTCCAATATCAAATAAACACTGCCATGCCATGATATGCAATGTCATGTATGTCGCTCCCCATTTTAAAAATTGAAATCTATCGTTTTTCAAACTGTTAATATAACCCGTCCTTTGGTGACTCCGCAGCGACATGAGAGAAGGATTAGCTACTGTCCCTGACCCTTGGTACCTCCGTGGCGTCATTTGGGGCCCAGTTAGCTCAACCACGCTAGGGTGATTTTCCTAGTTTCCTCTAGGTCATATTAACACTACGGCCCTTTGGTGACTCTGCGGCGACCGGGTTTTCTCAAAATCATTTCATCAAAATTCTTCCCAAAAAAATCCCTTTTATTTTATTTAAAATAATTTCCCTTCATTCGTACCCAATGAAATGTATATATGTCTCATACTTTCAATATTATGATAATAAGGGATTTCATACAACACAATTAAGCATGCCTTACAAGAAATTTTAAGAAAAATTTCACATGCTTCTATATATCATTTCTAGAAAGTTAACACCCAATAGACATAAGGAATCAATACTTAGGCATGTTTTCCATGTAAATCAGCAAATACACATAGTTGCATGCTTTATATACACAATTAAATCATTTAAGAGACAACCAACTCAAATTAAGCATGTATAATAACAATTTTAATAGAAAAACTCACAAAGGTACAAGAAAGTGGGAATTAGAGAACTCTACCTCAAATTAATCCAAAAACCCCCAAATGAGTCTCAAAACCGGAATCCTTAGAGTGCACTAAAACTGAAATTGCTTATATGGATGTGAAGATCTCGCCGTGCTCTTCGAATTGTCGCAAACGGCTTCCAAAAATTCCAAGTAATGAAGGAGGAATCAAGATTTGAAGTTTGGTTGAGAAAATAAAAGAAAAAATGCAAAGAAAAAAGTGAGAGAGGAAGCTCGCTCCCCCAGGGGGAATCAAGATTTGAAGTTTGGTTGAGAAAATAAAAGAAAAAATGCAAAGAAAAGAGTGAGAGAGGAAGCTAGCTCCCCCTGCGCGCGCGGGGGCCGGGCGCCGGCCGCCGGGGGGGGGGGGGGGGTGGTCTCAACCAAGTATGTGATTGGTGGGTCCCACCACCAACATTTTTTTTTTTTTTTTGACTTTTCTTCTCATTTTCCCACCACACACACAAATATATATATATATATATATATATATATATATATATATATGTAAGTATAATGTGTGTATATATATATATAAGTAAAACACAGCATTACGTCGGGTAACAGTTCGGACCCCATGTCTGGGTCGTTACACCTACCATATAATTACTATCTATAGGTTACTTGTTGATCACTCACCTATTCTCAAATTTTCTCTTATATATAGGACCTTTACGTAATTTCATTAAAGCAATACAGTATAATATTTTTTTCATTCTCTTATTTCTAACCAGAGAAATGATTGAAATAGCAAGCCTTATACAAGTTGGGGGATACAGGAGCCTCCAAAATGCACCAGTTTCGATCTTATTATTTTTTGAGGCCTTTTATTACAAGAAACTACAGTAGTACTGTATTACAAAGCAAGCAAGCATGTCTTGAGGAATGAGTTTGTATTTTGAGGCCTAGCTAAGACATTCGCTCCTCTTGCATTTTGAGGCCAACATACCTGTAAATTAAGAATAAAACACACAACTAATGTATCATAACCAGCACAGCACGTATGCATATTACAATTATACAAAACAAACCAATCCATGACTGCTGTTGCATCTATGCTTTCTATATATATAACTTGAATCAATCTAATAGAGTGTGTGTGTGAGAGAGAGAATTTAATGAAGCAACTAACCGGCCTAACATCATAAGGGTTGCCTGAGGATTAGTCCCTGGTGAGACTCTGAAAGTGGAGCCATCAACAATTCGTAGTGAGTTTATGCCAATAGCTCTAAAAGCATCATCAACCACTTTACCAACCAAACATCCGCCATGGTAGTGCCAATACGTGGTCAGTGTCTTGCGGCAGAAACTTTCCATCACTACCTCATCTGACTCGTTTCCAGGCAAAGGCCACCCCACAAATTTGAAATACTTTGTGCCATCCGTGTCTCGGAACTTATATTGCTCCATTGCACGGGTCCTCAACATCTTTCCAACATTGCGCATTGTATTGCCACAATGAAGTAGGTCCAAAGGGTTAGCAAAGTAGTTGAACCGGACAATTGGACTGACCATTATGTTGGTGGGAGACGCTAGTTGAAGCAAACCAGTTGAACGTGGTCTGGGGTTCTTCTTCACAATAGTCATCACTGAGATATTTACAGGAGGAGACGGGTCTGGAAAAAGTATAGGGCTAGCTGCAGGGGAGTAAAATGGGATGACACCAGATAAGGATTCAACATAGGTGCCATCTCTTATTATTCCTACCACCTGACTTCCAAATTCTGCTTCTGCCATTGCAAATGGGGCCACAAAGTTAATACCATTCCGGGGAATGTCCTGCATAAATTGTCCAACATAAGGCTGGTGGTGGACGACTGTGATGTTCATGGATGACAAATACTGCTTTGGCCCGATCCCACTTAGTAGCAAAACTTGAGGACTACCAATAGCCCCAGCACTAAGAATTACTTCTCCTCTACCACGCACTCGAGCCTCGTGAAACCTGCCCTTAGAATCACGATAAATGACTCCAACAGCAGACAAGCCTTCAAATTAATTAACAACAAAAATCAAAACCAATTTAATTAAATAGTCCATCAGCTATATATTAGTATATTAATTAGAAATGGATAAATAAAAACATAGATTGAAAAAAAGATTAAATATTATAAAGTCAGGTACCCAATGACTTTGAAGAGGTGAAGATGAGTCTCTCAACCGTGGCATGAATTGCCACTCGCAAGTTCTTGGGCTCGGCTTTATTTAAGAGCTCCACAGCCCCATGCCGCCTACCCATTCTATCAAATATGGAGCCGCCAATTTTAGTTCCCTCCAAATGATCTAGAGTAAATCCATTATCCGGACCAACACCAGATTCTAACAGGGCTTCTTTCACAGAAGATTGCCAGGAACCTAGAATTGGGCGAAAAACAATACTTTCTTCAACCCACTCATATGAATTGTTAACAACTGCCATGTCCCATTTTATGCCTGATGACATATAGAAGTCCTGGTCAGCTCTCGAGTAGAAACCAAGGTTTATCATGCTGCCCCCGCCTAGGACCCTGGCTCTTGCATTTTGTATGCCATCCTCTGAAGTGAAACCCTGAGCAGGCGAGTCCTTATCGTCAGCTTCAAGGAGGGACAATAGAATCCTCTCTTGACGTATGACATTGGGGTTATCATGAGCATCACCACCCCTTTCAAGTAGTAGAATAGAGTAATTTGTTGATAAAGTGGCAGCCAGAGGGCAGCCTGCTGTGCCCCCTCCAACCACTATGTAATCATATTCTTCAGAGGAGGAGAATTCAGTGGCATCAAATACAAATTTCAAGTAATTCAATTCTGCACATGCAATACAAGAGATTAATGAGGCCAAACGAATATTGCCATAGAACAACATACCTTCATAGGCCCAACAAAACATATCCTGCATACTCTGTTTGAAGGGTTAATTAGCTTTTTGTGATGGTCAATGTTAGGACATGTTTAGCAGATAATAGATAGGAAGTTGAAAGGAGATGGAATAACATCGTTCCATCCATATACGACTCCGTAATAAAGTTCTATCTAGAAGCAATAATTTGTTTGCATGCTGATCATTAAAAATCTAGCAACACAAAAACACCTTCTTTTTCTTTCAAAATTTAAAGTAGCTTGAGCTACTGAATTTTTATTCCTAGATTACTTTAGTTACTTGATTGAGATATCAAATTCCTGATAACAAGCTGTAACCATGCTTTCTTGCCCAAACAAAAAAGAAAAAGAAAAAAGAAAAAAGGAATAAATGTAACCATGCTATAGTATTATGTGAATTGGAATGCACCAATACCGTTTAAAAATTAAGTTTGATATATAACAAGCATGCATGCAACAAGGAGTGATTTAACTATATATTACTAATGGGAAAAGAACACCACTAGTACTAGGCCCCGTGCTGAAAAGTTTTAAAAATAAATACATTGTTTCTAACAAATTAACCCCAAAAAATAAAAAAATAAAAAACAAACTAGATAGCCATTCATATGTAAAGATATGTATAGAGAAAGATGAAATGAGATGTAGATGGAAATAAATTAATATGACACTAACCTTGATTATCAGATTCAGTGGCCAAGCGAATTCCAGGTTGAAGACCGATAGATAATAGGAGGAAGGGGATGGTATGCAGTGCCAGTGTTCCCATCATTGCCTTACTACTTGAAACAATTAAGATCAATGGAATATATTTACCTCTTCGTACGTGTTTATGTATGTATATAGAGATTGAGAGAGAGAGAGACGTTTATCTGTTCACCGAAAAATTAAATGAGAGGCCAATGGTTATTTGTTCATCGAAAATTTTAAATGGCATTCTATTGCCTTTTATAGAATTATTTAGTGACAGGCTGACAGCTTTCTGGAAAGTTAGATGAGCTTGGTCATGAAAGGCACTATTCAATGAATTGGGGAACTTAGATGACCTTACTGGTGCACCTCTATTCTATATGATCTCGCGATTTCCCCACGATTTTTATAAAAAGGTAAAAGAAATTCACTTTGTACAAATTAATAATAAATATTAGGCATGCATTCCAGTTTTTCCCCTTTTAGCATTTTGTCATGCAGTATAGATATCAATATTGCAGTAAGAATATTTACATACATATATATATATATATATATAATCAGTCTCCTCCTTGTGTTTTTTTTATTTGCTTGTGGAAAGATTTTGCAATGTATGTGGAGTCAGTCTAAATAATACAGTATACTGTTATAAAACTTCCTAGCTAGTAAGTTTCCAAAAGGGTTCATCCAATGATTGTGTGTAAATGTAAAAAACATGCATCAAACAGAATCTTAAGTTAGAAGTAGAGAAATGGATCAAGTGGCTGCAGCTAGCAGCTTCAAATACCATTCAGGACCCTGTATAAGTTTGGGATACAATATGATTATGGACCCTCAAACGACTGCTAGTATTATTCTGTATGATTTTTGAGGCCTTTTATTACAACAATCTTAAAACTGGTGCATCACATAGCATTTATATTACGTACAGAGAGACTATTCAAATGTTCCTGCCACTGGACATTCTCTCTTCTTGTATTTTGAGGCCAGCATACCTGCGAAAAACGAACAATACATAATAGAGGTAATAAGTTAACCAGCAATGTATCATAATTAATACTGCTTATGTATTTATAATTACAAATTAAGTAGTAGTAGTAGAATTACTTGCTGGCCTAACATGAGAAGGGTAGTCTGGGGATTGGTCCAAGGCGAGACAGTGAAAATAGAGCCATCAACAATCCTTAGTGCTTCTATCCCAATAACCTTGAAGGTATCATCAACCACTTTTCCCACTAAACATCCGCCATGGTAGTGCCATATAGTGGTCAATGTCTTACGGCAGAAAGTTGACATTGATGCAACATCCATCTAATTTCCAGGTAAAGGCCGCCCTACAAATTTAAAATAGGTTGTGCTTGTGCCAAACCTGCTGTCTTGGAATTTATATTTGTCCATGGCACAGGTCCTTAACAATTTTCCAATATTGCGCATTGCGTTAATACAATTAGACATGTCCAGTGGATTACTTAAATAGTTGAAGCGGACAGTTGGGCTGACCCTGACATTGGTTGCTGATGCCAGCCCAAGGGAACCAGTTGAGAGGGTTCTGGAAATCTTTTTCACCACACTCAGCACAGACAAATTTACAGGAGGAGGAGAAGGGTCTGCAGGGAAAAGTATAGGGCTAATTCCAGGAGAGTAAAATGGTATGACAGCTGATATGGCTTCAATGTAGGAATTATCTCTAGTTATTCCTACAATGTGACTCCCATATTCTTCATTTGGAAATGGAGGCACCAAATTGATGCCATTACGGGGTATATCCTACCCAAATTGTCCCACATAAGGCTGGTTGTTGACCACTGTGATGTTCATATTGAGGCCAAGTACTGCTTTGGGCCAATGCCACTCAGTAGCAGAAGTTGAGGGCTACCAATTGTCCCAGCACTTAGAATTACTTCTCCTCTACCACGCACTCGAGCTTCATGAGACCTGCCGGTAGAATCACTATAAATGACTCCAACAGCAGACAAGCCTTAAAAGTAGAAAACCAATTAAATTAGTCAGGCTAGCTAGATATTCAACAAAACCATTTGTAATATAATCTTCTAGCTAAATGCATAGATTCAAAAAAACAAAAAAAAAAAAAAAAAAGTAAAAATTATAGATTAAAAAAAAAAAAGAAAAGATTAAGCCGAGTACCCAAAGACTTTGAAGAGGAGAATGTCAGTCTCTCAACCGTGGCATGAATTGCAACTCGCAAGTTCTTTGGCTCGGCTTTATTTAAGAGCTCCAGAGCCCCATGCGTCCTACCCATTGTTGAGATTTTACCTATGGTACCGCTGTAGAATTGAATTATTTTCTCTTTAATTTAGGGCTAATTGGTAAGTAATTAGTTTTCCGATTATTGTATATTTAGTTACCTATTTTAGCTAGATATTATTCTATTAATTGAATGTAACACCATCGTGAATATTATTGAATTAAAATTTGATTCTCATATTCTTTCTCTGAATTTGAAGATGGTATCAGAGCCATTCTTGAACCGTAGCTTTGAATCTCTTTAAATTTATCTTTGAAATTAAAAACCCCTTACATACATACCCATACACAATCCAAAGACCCATCCCATACACATACAGTAATCCATACCCATCATCCCTTTCACCAATCTGCCAACACAGAATCATCTTCCCTTTCACCAATCTACTTTCGTTGCCATCACAAGTTACTGCCGTCATAAGACACAGCCATCACAAGCCGCATCGCCGTTGCCGGATCAAAATCACCGTCCATCGCTCACGCCGGATCTGCTTCGCTGTTAGCCGTCGCCGGATCAGCATCGCCATCGCCGAATCAGCATCGCTGTCAGCCGTCGTCGGAGCTTGCCAAACCGTTGTCCATAGCTTTGCCGATTGTTCTTCACCTCGCCGGATCTTCGCAGGATCTTCTCCATCATTGCCGCCGGATCTACCTCAGTTGAACCAATCGCCTCTCTGCTACTGAACTGAACCAACCGCCTTCTCCGTCATCAGATCGCCGGCTCCGGCTGCTATCCACGGCCATCGTTTTCCTTTGTTGAATCTGCCAAAGTTTTTTTTTTCTTTTGTTCTTGCTGTTTCTGTCTCTTAACAGAGACGAATAGTTCTTGAAATTTGTTTTTTGTTTTATTTTTAATATATATATATATCAAAAAAAAAAAAAAGAAAAAAAAAACGAAGATGACTGAAAAATCTATTGAATCCTCTAGGACGAAATCAGTTCCTATTTTTGTTCAATCTGAAGGTGTTTTTAATGCAGGGATTAGTCTTACTGAATCTAATTATGACGTTTGGTCCCAACTAATGGAGATGCATATTGCTGAAAAGGAGAAATTATCCTATATTCTTGGTAAGACTAAGCCACCTGCTGAATCAGAAGATGGTTATGATAAGTGGTATGCCGAAAATTAGAAAGTGAAGCGGTGGCTATTAATGTCCATGACTCCAGAAATTATGAAGCGTTATTTACGCTTACCCACTACCCGCGAAATCTGGAGTGTTCTATCAAAGGCTTTTTATGATGGGAATGATGAGTTGCAAGTTTTCGCCTCGAACCAAAAGGCTTTCACCGCCAAACAAAAGGGAAAATCTCTCTCTGAATATTATGGAGAGCTCACTGAAGTTTTTCGAGAAATGGACCATCGAGATAAAGTGGTCATGAAAGATCCAGATGACATTGAAGCATATCGGAAGTCTATCGAGCGACTAAGGGTTCACATTTTTCTTGCCGAATTAGATGGTGAATTTGAACAAGTTCGTGGAGAAATTCTATGCAACGATCCAGTTCCAGACTTGGAAGGCTGCTACTTATTGGTTCGATGAGAAGCGGTACGTCGTGCAACTCTGAAAGGGGAATCCGAAAACTCTAAAGCTTCAGTCATGATGGCTCGAAATAGGTCTAAGCAAAACTGGCAGGATCGTTCTAAACCTAATCAATCTAAAGCCATCAAAGGTGAAGACAAGTCTACCTACAAATGCACCCATTGCAATCAGACTGGTCATACCAAAAGTCGTTGTTTCGAACTTGTGGGATATCCGGAATGGTGGGATTATAGTCGTTGGAAGAAGAATTCAACGAAGACCTCCACTGCAGCAGTTGTTAAGACAGATAACAATGATGCTGACAAGGCCTTGGGGTTGGTAGTAACTGGAGATCATGGTGGTAAGGTTTTAAATTTTTTTACACCTGTTGTTAATAGTGCATGGATAATTGATTCTGGTGTTGCAGATCATATGACATTTGATTCTAGACAGGTTTCCCCGTTTAATTCCTCCCCACAACAATTTGTTTCTATTGCTAATGGGACTTCGACCCAAGTTATTGGGGAAGGATCTTTGACACTCACTGATAATTTAAATTTAGATTCTGTTTTAGTTGTTCCATCTTTATCTTATAAGCTTTTGTCAGTTTCCCAAATAACCACAGCTTTATCTTGTGTTGTAATTTTTTGGCCTGATTTTTGTGTGTTTAAGGACATCCAAACAAAGCAGATGATTGGTTATGGTATTAGGCGAGGGAAGCTGTATTACTTGGACTTGCTGTCAAAAAGTTCTGACAAGCTACGACAAACATTGATAGTAGATGGTTCTGAGGGAGAGAAAAAGAAATCTGAAATCTGGCTGTGCATCGACGTCTGGGGCATGCTTCCTTTGGTTATCTGAAAAAATTATTTCCTAGTTTATTTAAAAATTTTGATGGTTCTAGTTTACGCTGTGATGTTTGTAAACTAGCAAAGAGCCACCATGCTTCGTTTCCATTATGTTTGAATAAAAGTTCACTTCCTTTTATGGTTATACATTCTGATGTTTGGGGTCCTTCCAAAGTTCCTACTTTAGGTGGATCACGTTGGTTTGTTACCTTTATTGATGACTGTACCAGGATGACCTGGTTGTGCTTGATGAAATCCAAAAGTGAAGTGAACTTATTGTTTCAAAAGTTTCATAAAATGGTTGCAACTCACTACAATGCACATGTTCAGGTTCTCCGTAGTGACAATGGTGGAGAATATCAGAGTTTTAACCTTCAACAATATTTGGAAGCACATGGAACTTTTCATCAAACCACTTGTTCCAATACACCCCAGCAGAACGGGGT